TCACTGACCTCACCCTCAGAGTGTCAGGATACAGGATGCCTGGGGATGGAACCTGTTGTCCCCATCCCTGTGCCCCAACTCGTGTCCTTCCACATGTACATAATGTCTGTCTATGGGGGGTCACTGATGGGGGTCACTGATGGGGGTCACCGCTGGGGGTCACCAATATGGGGGTCACCCATGGGGGTCACTGATATGGGGGTCACCGATGGGGGGTCACCGCTGGGGGTCACCGCTGGGGGTCACTGATATGGGGGTCACCGATGGGGGGGTCACCGCTGGGGGTCACCAATATGGGGGTCACCCATGGGGGTCACTGGTGGGGGTCACTGGTGGGGGTCACTGAATGAATGAGTGTACTCACACACACGGGATAGGATCTGGCTTATCACTGATAATTTACGTTTGCTCTTTGGTTTTTGAGACAGTCTCCAATACTCCAGGCTGGCTTTGAATTCCTGATCCTCCTGCCTCTGCTTCCTAAGTGCTAGGATTATAGGTCTTTGGGTTTTCTAAAGTGAGTCCTAAGTGGCAGTTTTTATTTTTAATCTTTCCCATCCCACCCAGAGCCCACCGCACAGATGCTAAAGCCCCTCCCACCTTTTTATTTATTTACTTATTTTTATTTTATCAAGACAGGGCTTCTCCATGTAGCCCTAGCTTTCCTGGAACTCTCTCTGTGTATGGAACGCCTGGCTTCCCTAACACTTCTACTTTTACTCAAGATTCCCCCAGCAGGGCAGCATTAGCTTCAGGTTGGTAGGAGATCACCAGGTGTCCAGGGTGAGGTCACTCTCTGTGAGCTAATTCTCAACTAAGAGCCTTGAGCCCAGCAGCCTTGCCCCCTTCTTCCCCCTCTCCAGTGATGTGACAGGCCTATCATCCACTCTTCCCTCTGCCCCTGGAAGGCGTCCCCAAAGCCATCCCGTCCTGTAACAGAGGGACATCCATCCAAACACAAACTCGCCTTGAGGGTATCTAGCGGCCTGGAGCAGCAGCCTGCCGTGATGAAGGCTGAGCAATGCTGGGAAGGGCATCACACATGGAATACAGTGCCCTGCTCCCTACTTTTTCCTAGCTGGCTCGGGTTCCACTGTGTCATCTGCAGTGCGAGATGCTCACAAGGACATGTTTCTGTTTGCAGGAGTTGACTGGCGCTGCCACTGGCGAGGGAGCACTCCCACACAGCCCACCCCACTGCAGATCCAGCGCCCCCAGGCTCCCTACTCCTCCCAGTTATAGGCACACCGGCCTCAGCCGGTTCTGTAATCCTTGAAGGGATCCTAGAATCCTCCTCTGTGTGCCAAGAAGGTGACAAGTTCCTGAGACAACCTGAGGCCTAGCGGGGTCAACAGGGAGCCGCACTGCCTCACTGAGGAACAAGAAAAGAGGAACAAGGCCCTGGGGGGGGGGGTGGTAAGCTAGCTTTCCCCTCCCTACCGGCTGGGCCCTAGAACTTACTGAAGGCACAGTCCCGCATCCCAGAACCTCCCTGAACCCCCAGGCTCCCATAGGAAGCAAAGGAAGCCCCCCCCCGCCCCCCCCCCGGGCCTTCCCGGAGCTCCCAGAGCTCTCACTGAGCAGGGCAAGAGTAACCAGTGCCCAGGGGTGAGGCCATGGGAGTCAGTCCAGCCCAGCTCTGCACCTGAGGTGCCCTGCTCTGGGGGAGTTACTCCCGCTCACCACCCCCCAAGGCCTAAGGCCACTTCTGTTTGAACCCAAAGCCCAGTGGCCACAGCCAGCAGCCCAGTGACTATGCACAAGGTGTGTGCACATCGGGCTCCACCTAGAGGCAACTATCTATCCAACTATCCCTGTCCCAGGCCGTTCCCCCTGCAGGGGGCAAGGCTCCTGTAGGAGCAAACACAGCCAGTGTGATGCGTGCCCCAGGCGCCTAAGGAAAGGCCAGGATCCCTCTAGGGAGTCAGTCTAGAGGCCCTGACGCCCCCTTATCCCCCCTGAACAATAGGACTGTTTTCTTTTCCTTCGATAAAAGTGTCTGCGTTAACAGTTCCCAAGCTCTGTGATGGGGAGGGGGTGGCAGCTGGGCAAGTGACAGCTGGAAATGAAACCCAGATCCTGTCAGCCTGGCAGGAGGTCCCCCTCCCCATCCTCCAACGTGGCCACTCAGGCCCTGGTGATCACAATGCCCACAGCCCTCTTAACCCCAGGATCGTGGGATTCAACTCTGTTCCCTCACAGGAGAGCTAACACACCAACCCCTCATCTAATCTACCTACACAGCGGGGTCTGCAAGGAGATGTGTCCTTGCCCCTTACATGACTGGGCTGCTCAGGTCGCCTGCTAGGCCTGGTAAGCCAGAGGGGTGGACTGAGAGCCACCATGGCTACACAAGGCAGTCTCCCACCTGCCTACCTATCCTGCCGTTTGGCACTCTGGGGCCAGGACCTGCTCATCCACCCACCTAGCCAGTATTCATCAGCCTCTACCTGGAGCCTGTTGAGGGCTCGGTGTAGGGCAGAGACTGATATCTGGTCCAACCGAGCCTTACCCCCCTCAAGTCACTGTGAGAGGCAAGTATTATCACAGAAAGAAAAACAGCTAGCCTGTGCTATGAAACTGTGCCACAGCAAAACTGAGCCCCCTTGGGAGTCTGGCTGCTCCCTGTCCATGCTCTGTGTCCTGCCCTCCTCAAAGCCAACCTTGGGACTCAGCGTCTGCTGAGAAGTAGGGCAGGGACACATGACAATCTGTCTCATGTCATCTGTACTGAATGAGCCACAGGGAGTGAGGTGGGCCTTGAGGGATGTGTAGGAGTCTGACAACAACTGAAGAGGGAAAACAAGGGCTCTTCCAGTCAGGGGAGAGAAACAAGTACAAGCCTGGTGGTTCAGGGGTTGGCTCCCTCCTGGAACTGGTAACCTTTGGGACTGAGCTAAGAGGACCTAGGGCTTGTGGTTTGAGACCCTTCCCTCCCTGGCTCAAGCCGGAGGGTCCTGGAAAGGGGTCAGACAGCACCACCACAAGGCAGCCTGGTCTGGGCAAAGGGAACCCCACAGACACTCCTGACCAGGTGGTCAAAGACCTGGGCACCCACTGGACTGCCCTCTGTGAGGCCAAGCCTCCAGAGCCCAGGACCCCCTCCTTAAGCATGTTCCAGATTCCTCGTTTGTCTGCACTAACTCATGGAATTACTAGCTCTGTGGCTTTGGGTGAGTTAGCCAACTATTCTGTGCTTTGTTCCTGTTTGTAAACAGAGATAATGCCATCTGCCTCATTAAGACTGAAGTAACAATTAAATATATTATCACGGGACAAAACCCAGCCTGGGTCATGTGGTTATTTCCACCTCTGGGACTTTATACTGAGCTGATCCTGACAGGACCCTGGGTCTGCTACTGATTCTGGCGAGAAGAGGACTCGGTCCCCAGCAAGTAAAGATCTCTTCGCTTTTCATCCCCCAGAGTGCTTCAAAAAAAAGGGCACCTGGACATCCTTCCTCCCCCAGGGCACTTTGGGAAGCCTGAAGGGTTCTGGTGAGAGGGGGCATCAAGCCCGGGGTTTTGTGCCTGCCCTAGGAAGGAGAGCCATGAAGTCAGTGCAGGAAGCGCCAGCCCAGGACCCTGACCCAGTCTGCACCTCGAGGAGGGAGGAGGAGAGGCCAGGAAGGCAATGGGAGGTCACTGGATGCAGGAAACCCTGAGGAGCTCCCCTTCCCAGGAACTGACTACCCCATGCCAGCTTCTGCTCTGCACCTGGGGGGCTCAGACTCTAGAGCCTGGATCAGGACAGTCTGTACCATCCAGCAGGCTCAGGGTGCTCCCCTCCCGTCCCTCCCCTCTTATCTCCCGCCTAGAACCCTGGCATGTTGAAAGAGAGCAGTGTGGATACCAGTGTGCCGGCATTGCTTAGCTGCTTTCTGACTAGACTAATCCCGGCTGAGCAGCAAAGCACCGTGGACAGGGTCCCAAGATTACTCAAGGTACTTCCCTTATCTTGGGAGCTCCTGCCTCACCCACATATCTGTCTGCAGCACCCAACCTCCACCCCCAGACGGTGTGAGCAAATGAGAAGCATTAACCGCCATCTTTGGGCCCTCTGAATGCTCTCCATCTGAACACTCGGCCGACCGGGACACAGAAGTCATCACAAAACTGAGCTAGGTTGTCTGAGCACCAGCCTCCCAGGGCCGTGAGGGCCTGTGGTTTCCAGCGCCTGAAAGAGACTCTTGCCCAGCTGAGCACCTCGGGACTTGGAATCTAGCAGTTGGAACTGCTGTGGCCTTAGGAAATACATGGCTCCCTAAGGGTTGGCTGGCACTGAGTCCCTCCCCAGTGGCCGACTGGGCAGTTTTCTGGTGGACTTCGGGTTAATTGCTTCGAGTAATTGCTGGTGAATGAAACACCCAGTAAGAGACTAGAGGCCTGAGCCCTGCAGCCCCCATGGAAGCTAGATCCCCATGCAGATTCGGGAGAATGCCGGCGGCGTCAAGCACGGGCCAACATGTTTCCAGCACCAGCACCGTGGGCCTCTAGGTTCAGTGGGGCCTGGGCCACTGACTCAACCACAGGACGTGGTATCGGCCTCTAAACCAGCCTAACAGCCTCGGGCTGGAGCTGGGAATAGATGAAGGGCGAGGGCTGGGACCTGTGATCGCAGCAACAAAGTTCGAGAGGGTTCAGAGCTGCTGCTGTCGCAGGACCCTGAGCGCGCTCGCACGGCCTGAGTTTGTTAGCGCTCACTGAGGGGTCGCGTTGTGGTCCCAGGGCCCGACGAGCGGAGCCAGTTCGGGTCACGTGGCATTGCGGGCCAGAGCCCTGGCGCTGACCCTAAGGGGAGGGAGGGACCGACTCCGAGAGGGAAGGGGCGGCCCGGCGGGGGCGGGGCGGCCAGAGCTCCCGGGATTCCCTGCAGAGCGGCTCGGCTGGAGACCCAGTCTACAACCCACCGGTCACGGGATCTCGATCCAAGCCGCGCTTTCCTGCCCGGCCGGTGAGGGATTTGGCCGGCGATCTCTCCGCGCGTGGCAAGGACCTCGCTCCTGGGACTCTGCGCCTCTTCTAACCCCGTCGTTCCACCCGGAGGAACCCCGGACCTGCCCCGTGGACGGACTCGGAAAAGCAGAGTTTGCAAGCCGAGCAAGCAGCAGCACCTGCCCAGGGCGAGCGTGAGAGCTGATGTAGGGGCACAGTCACTCTTGCCCTCGACGCCTCTTTCTTCTCTTCAGGTTAAGCTCGTGCCGAGCGGGGAGAAATGTATCAGAGCTTGGCGCTGGCCCAGAGCCCTGGCCAGGCCACCTACGCCGACTCGGGAGCCTTTTTGCACGCTCCGGGAGCCGGCTCTCCGGTGTTCGTGGCTCCCACGCGTGTGCCCTCCATGCTGCCCTACCTGCCTGCGTGCGAGCCGGGCTCGCAGCCTCCCGCGCTTGCCGCGCACTCTAGCTGGACTCAGGCAGCTACTGCCGACTCCTCAGTCTTCGGCTCCGGAAGCCCGCATCCGCCAGCCGCACACCCACCGGGAGCCTCCACCTTCCCGTTCGCACACAGCCCCCCGGGGTCCGGCAGCGGCGGCAGCGCGGGGGCCCGGGACAGCGGCTCCTTCCAGGGCGCGCTGCTGGCTCGCGAACAGTACCCGACCCCGCTCGGGAGACCCATGAGCTCCTCGTACCCCACAACTTACCCGGCCTACGTGAGTCCCGACGTAGCCCCTTCGTGGACCTCCGGACCCTTCGATGGTAGTAGCATCCTGCACGGTCTGCAGGGCCGCCCTAGTGGCCTCCCTGGCCGACGGGCCACCTTCGGTGAGTACCGGGCTGGGGCTGCCCGGTGGACATGGTTCTAACGTTAACGCGTGCAGCGATAAACCCGCTCGCTACGAAATGCAATGTATGCAAAAAGCCGAAATGGGCTCTTCTGCTGTCAGGGCTCACCCGCTTGGATTGACCCCACAGATTCCCTCCCAGAACTGCCAGGACACAGGAAACTTTTCCAAACACAGTGCGATGAAAAACATTTTTTTTTCCTTTCAGCATAATAGCAAGGAAATAATACATTTCTGTTTTTCACGCGACCAAACCCCAAAATAGCATTCTGGATTATGTCAATTTGGACCCTACATCCTAAACTTTCCTTGGAAAGTTTTGGAAATTATTTTTTGGTTTTAAGACAGGGTCTTATTTCGTAGACCAACCCAGCTTCAAACTTAGCAGGGGCCCTCCTGCCTCAACCTTCCTAAGTGCAGAGCTTACAGGCATTAGCCACTACACCAGGCTAAAAATGAGTTTTATGAAGTTCTAAATACTGACTGTTTGAACAAGTCGCCACAGCCATCTCTTTCTACAGCACTGGCACTCCAGCTTGAGATTGCCATACCTCCCAGGAGCATAAATTAGATGAGATTAGATCCCAAGGGTACTGAGCTAAGAACTGCTCCTCCAGGTTTCTGAGTATTTTTGAGCACAGTCACAACAAAGAGGGCCAGCCTCTGTTTGCATCCTCAGGGCCTCCTGTAGGCCCATCCCTCCAAGACCTTGGAAGCCTGCCCCGATTCACAGACCCCTCTTGGCCCAAGCCAATCTAGTGCCCTTAGGTAGACAAATGCAGCCCCTGTGTCTGGCACCCACCTCCAGCCAGTAGAGGACTGGTCCCACCCTGCCCCAGCCAGTACCCCTCTGCTTGTACAGCTGTGGTTCCTGGCTAGGCTGGAGCGGGATGGGGATTCCCTGGTGCCCTGTGGTCTTGCCCTCCTGCCCCACCCCCAGGGGAGACAGTGGTTGACTCCACAACAAAGCTGACAGCCAAGCCATCAGCACCCTGTGGAAACCCAGGTCTCCCAGTCCCTTCTGGCTTGGGGCCTACTCACAGGTACACAGGGGATCTGAAAGTGGGCTGGGGATGGAGGGAAGTAAGGCTCTGCCATCCACTTCTCTCTGCCTGTGTACATACATCTCTTTCCGAAGCTTACTAAAAGTACAAAGGCTGACATGGACCCTGGTTAAGAAAGGGGTCATCTCAGATCTCTCCCTTAAAGTTTGGTTTATTTATATCCCTGCCTCACAAGAGCAGCCCTAACATATTTCACTAAAGACTAAATAAGACTAAGTATATAAATAAATCACCCTTTTAATGAATAAGTATCAGACACTATAAAAGGAGGGCAGAAACCCTTAGGCTCTCTGGAGGAACAGAGGCCCCAGCCCACAAGCTTCTTGTCCCTACAGTGCCTGACTTCTTGGAGGAGTTCCCTGGTGAGGGCCGGGAGTGTGTCAACTGCGGAGCCCTGTCTACACCGCTGTGGCGCCGTGACGGCACCGGGCACTACCTATGCAATGCCTGTGGCCTCTATCACAAGATGAATGGGGTCAACCGGCCACTGGTGAGGCCTCAGAAGCGTCTGGTGAGTGTGGCAGGGAGAGGACCAGGGCTAGAGCCACGAGGGGGATAAAGGGAATGAGTGGCTTCTGCACACAGTGGTGTGTGGGTTCCTGGATGGATTAGGGACCGAAGCACAAGGCACCGTGAGCTGCCTGGCACTCCTGGTTGAGCCAGGCCACCTCATCTCTTCCTGGAGTTTGAAAATATTCAGGGAGCCATCAGGATTCTGGCAAGGATTCCTCCTGGGGACCTGGCCACTGTAGCGCCACCAGGTTACTCTGCACTTGACAGAACAAGGTGTGTTTCAAAGCCACTTGCTACATGGCCACAGGATGTCCTGGGAGCAGGTCTGAGAATGAGCTCTGCCCTGGGCACATAAGCCAAAGTCCGTGTGGGTTCCCTGGGGGCTCTGTGCTGCTAAGGGATTGTGTCGGTGGTAATGGTGGGTGGCAACCTGGTCGAATTAGAGGCCTCAGGTGACTGGCACACATAGGGTTGAAGAAAGGGACGCTGGTCCACCGATACTGGCATCAAGAACCTAAGTGAAAGAGTCTTTGGGTGTGTGTTCTTGGGAAGCATTTGCCTGTGGTGGCCCTAGGAAACCAGGCCTCTGCCTTTTGCCTATCCCGCCGGCTAAATCTTCTTTTCACTTTTGGCTCTTCTGGTTACACGGCCGAGTAGGTGTCAGTTAGAAGTAAAGGTCAGACTTGTGCCGCCAGGAGTTGCTGAGGCAGGAGAGACAACTTTGCTCTGCCTTTAAGTTCAGGTTTAAATGCGTGTCTGGTTGGGGTTGGCAGACAGACTAATATCCTTGCTGTGGAGGCTACAGTGGACTCATGGATCTCAAGGGCTTCAGACTGACCTGGGCAGGAATGCACCTGAGTATCAGGCCCTCCTATCTGAAGGTGTGAACCCCAGATGAGTGTCAGCCCCTGGGAAGATGCTTCTCATCCTCCAGGTTTCAGAAGGGGCCCGTGCCCGTAGCAGGCAGGGTCTGGGGACTGGCTGCCCTGGTCCTGCCTGATGTGTGTTGTACATGGTTTCCTGAGAGCACTTGCTTGGGGCTGTAGCTCTGTGCACTCTTACATTATGGGCATGTGAGGTCCTAAGATGGGAACAATGTCGTGAGCTCCGGGAGGCAGGTAGGATGCAGGAAGGGTCTTCTCTTCCTCTGAGCTGGCCTGGGGTTTGGGGATCTGCAGGCCCATTCTGCACAACTCTTTGCTTCTTGTCGTCTGAGGGGCCACTTCAGAGACTACAGTGCCCTCTGGTCCCTGCCTGATAATGGAAACCCTCTGCATGTGAGCTGCCCAACCTGGTCTCCGTGACATTCACTAATGCAGAAACCACGGATAACTAGATAGACAGCCCAGGCGTGAAGGGTTGCATCCTAGGCCTGGGGTACAGCCTCCCCAGGCAGCAGGCCTGGCCTGGCCCTTGCTTCTGCCCACTCCGCTCCATGCCAGTCTCTGAACTGGGCACACAGGCACAGTAATAAGCAAAGAAGAATCAGGCGCGAGCTCCTGGCTGCTCTGGGGTAGAGGGGTGGGCTCCCCACAGCCCAGATCTACTCTTGTCATCACTAACACCCCCTCAGTTTTCCCTCCCCAGACAAGGGGCAGATCTTTGACCTAGTCTGCTGTGTCTCCTCAAAGAGAGGCATTTCCAGCCTTGACTTATCCCTAAGGCTCCAACTGGCTCTCCACCCAGCCAGTCTTGGGTAACTGGGTTCTGGGCTCCCAGGAGGCTCCATCCACCTGGCTCCTGCATTTCCTGTGGTCCCTTGACATGCCTGAGCTTCCAGTTCCCTTCTGTGCTGACTGGCAGTTCGTGACGGCTCAGGAAAAGGCGATGCTTCTTGAGTCGTTATGTTTTCCTATGTTCTTCTTAGTTTATAGAAGTAAAACATAATCGCAATGGAAAGATTCCAACGTGCTTTCCAGACTTTTCTCTTGCACTTCTGGGGATGTGGGCATGGGTCTGTGTGCCTTTCTTCCTGCGTGCGGTCTGCCATGAGACACCCGCTTTTGGTTTTTGCCCACCATGTCTCAGAAGGTCCCATAGCTCCTGGCTGGTTCGTGGAAGAAGAGAGGCCACAGGCCAGGGCACCCCTAGGTCTGAAGATCCAGCAGGATCTGAGAACTGCAAAGTGCCAGGCACCTAGTTAAGTGAGACTTCCATGTAAACACAAATATCTTACTAATCATATTCCAAGCAATGCAGGGGATACACATGTGCAAACCCTCGCTGTCCCTTTGGGCTGATGTTCTAGAATTGTAGTTGAATCTGAAGCCCTGAACCATAAAGGGGACAGTTGGGAGGGTCGGAGGTATTGTTCAAGGGTAGGACACTGCAGTCTGGTGCCAGCAGCTGGAATAGACAGTCTGTCACAGCAAGGCTGGGCTGTGGAGTTTAGGAAGAGCTTGGGGTCCAGGTGCCTAGGGACCTAAGAATGGAGTTTTCAGTAGTGGGGATTAGAGTCCATCACACGCTGAACCGTGAGCCATGCACCAGGAAAGTCAGTGGTCTCCGGCAGCTCAGAGACATTGGTCTTGGTGATGTCTGGCTGGGCTCTCTGTGGTGACTCCCCAAACACAGCACCAGCAGCTCATTCCTTGCCCCACCACCAGTTTCATTAGTTAGGCTCAGCTTGCCCTCTAGCTCAGGGCCCAAGGTCTCCAAACACAGGGAAGTCTGGGGTCCCCGGTGGGACTCAAGGGTGTGAGATCAGGGTGGTCCTGCTGGGAGATGTGGTGGCATGAGGTAGACAGAGAGAAGGTGTCACACAGCCCAGGACCAAGAGATTCTAGACACTCAGCACAGCCAGGGCAGAGAAGACCCTACACCTTCCACTCAATACCCTGTGGGTACCGGGGACGCTGTCAGTGTATGCTCGGGGCTCTTAGGAGACACGTATCCAAGGGGACCAGCAAGACCCTGAGAGTTGAGCTTTGGCCCTAACCTCCTGAGGGGTCTGTGGCCTTGAGAGCGCTGATGCCCCACGGAGATGCTGGATTTAGGTCACCCTGGCTGGCTTAGGATAATAATTAATGGCTGTATATTTCATCACAAGGCCTTCGTGACCTCAGAACCCCACAACCAGACCCTGAAAGGTCTGTTAGATCTCAATGACGGTGAAGGGACCTGTCCTGGCTCCACAAGGCCAGTGAGTCAAAACTTGGTGGGACAAAGGACATCGTGTCCTTCCAGATAGGTCCATGGCAGGCTTCAAGCCTTCCATCAACCAGAACAGTCTCAGCCAACCAGAACGGTCCCTGACCTAACAGCTGGTAACTGCTTAACTGAGTGTAGCTGCTACCCATCCTGCTCCTTGTCATATACTACACCGGAGCCCCCAAGTCTGAGTTCCGCTGCCCCAAACCCTGCGCTCACCGCAGCTAACTTGCTCCACAGTCCTCATCCCGTCGATCCGGCCTCTGCTGTTCCAACTGCCACACTGCCACCACCACCCTCTGGAGGCGTAACGCTGAGGGAGAACCTGTGTGTAATGCCTGCGGCCTCTACATGAAGCTCCACGGGGTGAGTGGCAGGGAATACCCCGCCACCCCTGCTAGACAGCACGGCCCCCTTGGCCCCTGGCTTGAAGGAACGAGCGAACGTGTTCTGGGAGTGTTACGCGTGTGTTGACTGCCCGCACACCCACTCCTCTAGGAGACCAAGCTGGGGCCTCCATGCCCACTGAGGCTCCTGGAGCTCCCCAGGGCTTTTCAGCCTAGGATGAACGCTAGACACCCAAGTCTTGCCCTCTATGCACTCCAGCCCTGCCCTCGGTATCACAGATGGGATGGGTATCTCCAGGGCGGGACAGGAAGGTGACTGTGCAAGGGCCCAGGGGTGAGCAGGGACAGTGAGTAGACACCTACCCTTGCTGTCCCTTCCCTGCCAGGTGCCACGGCCGCTTGCAATGAAAAAGGAGAGTATCCAGACAAGAAAAAGGAAGCCGAAGAACCCTGCCAAGATCAAGGGTTCCTCAGGTGCGGAGGGAGCTGGGGGGGGACACCCCCAGGCCTCTGAGTCTCCCTCTAACCCCACCCCTACAGGGTGTCCTTCATCTTGTTAGGGGAAGGGCTTATGATATGAGCTGGCCAAACAGTGGGACAGGAGTGGAGTAGATACAGCCATACTGACCTACCTTTCAGTGCTGTGTGACTTTAAGAAGCCTCTGAACCTCTCTGGACGAGGATCAGAGAATTGGCCACGTGGCAGGAAATATGGTCAGACCCGGCAACCTTCTGTGAATGTTCCCCATCTTCCCTTCCAGGGTCCACAGCAAACACCGCAGCCTCTTCTCCCACTCTCGTCAACGCTGAAGGCTCAGCAGCCACTTTGAAGGCCGAGCCCAGGCTGGCATCCCAGGTATGTGCTGGGCCCTCTGTCTCCTCCCAGGTAAAGGGGATGAGGCAGGGGGTGCAGGAGATGGAGAACCTTGACTCTTCGCCAACTCAGATCCCATCAGAGCCCTCAGGACCTCTCCCTGAGCTTTGTGAGCACATAGCCCCTCTCAGCCACCAATGTGGTGGCTTCCTTCCCTAGAGCTGTGTGTGGCGTGGCCCACAGCCTTTGCATGCTCCTGGGGGCCCTTTCCACTCATTCTAGGCTGAGGGACGCTTGGAGGAAATAACCTAGGGTGTGCCTCCCCACTCCCCCACACTCACCTGCCCCATCCTGTCTGCAGGCCCCCTCCAGCCCAGCGAGTGAACCCCTGGCCCCCAGTCATTTGGAGTTCAAGTTTGAACCTGAAGACTTCGCCTTCAACTCCTCATCCCTGAGCCCCCAGGCTGGCCTGGGTGGGGTCCTGCGTCAGGAGGCCTGGTGTGCCCTGGCCTTGGCCTAGGTGCTCAGGAAACTGCCACCATGGTGGTTCCCAGGAACAGAGACTGCCAACCTGGCTCTTAGAACAGGAGCAGAGACAAAGGGGTCCCAGGAACAAAGGTTAGCCTCTGAAGCAGCAGCTCCAGGGGTCCCTCACCACTGTGGAGGGGAGTTTTTTGCGCTGACAGCCTAGAGGAAGAAGAGGTCTGGTAGGACTTGAAGGCTCGTCTGGGACAGCAATGGAATCCCCAGACCTCTCGCGGGCCCCTCTGTAGCCGAGACGGCTGCAGATACCCACCGATGACTTGAATGCCATCGACGGTCAACATTTATAGTCTGTAGCAGCTGGCAAAGGTTCACAGCATCCCACAGTAAAATCTGATCCAAGGGAAACAAACAGAGTCCAGGCCGGCAATAAGGAAGAGGCGACCCTGACACAAGGCCTTTGGGGTCTCACATTCTTAACATCCCATATCTGACTCTGCGGGGCTGAGTGCTTTCTTGACAACGAATGCAGGACTATGAAAGACCGATGTGCAGATTGAGCACCGTAGCAAGACCCCGCCCCAAGGCAAACCATCCCTCTGGCCATCATCGCAGACTTCTGTATTTATTTGTAGGCTTGTTTCCAGAGAGTGCAGTAAAAGGCCTTGTTCTGGCCATCTGTATACTAAGGCTTTTGCTGATGGGAAGACCCACACTGAGACACTATTGGAACTGGGTGACATGTGGCCTCGTGACCTGGCTCAGCTATCATTCAAGCAGTTGTTAACACGGCTCTTTGCAGCATCTTCTTCTACCAGGTCATGGCAGCTGGCTGTGGACTCTAAGGGGTGCAGGTCAGTTCTAGGGCCCCAGTACAGGGAGGTGGCAGGCAGTGAAAGAGAGCGGATGTTCTGTAGGCCACACCCCTACAAGGTCTCAGCTCTTCTGGCTACCTCCTGGCATTTCCAGGGTCCCACCCCCAGGTGTGGAAAGTGGCAAGTAGAGGAGTTAAGGGGTCACCTAACCATGAAGACCACCCCTACGTCTCCTGTGTGGACCCTTGATCCTTCCACCTAGTTCATCTCGAGGCGGAGACAGTGGACCCCAGTTAGAAGGAAAGCAGCGGGTAGTATCCTGTAGCGGCTATCACAGGGCCAAGGGCAAGACATGCTCCTGTCACTGGCCCTGAGTAGGTATACCTCACTATCCATGCGTCTGTGGAAGGCAAAGCCAGCAGCCTAAATGACTGTTACCACATCCCAGATATGGGGGAGGGAAAGGAAGGGGGCTAGAGGCAGACGCGGGAGGCACCGTGTGAATGCCTCCGCGCGTGCGCGCACACACACCCCAGGTGTTCACAGACACAGAAGAGACCACAGCAGCTGCGTGAGGGCTGTGCTCAAAGCCTCAGCATGGTTGCCCACTGCCGTGGTGTTTCTGGGAGTCCCTTTTGCCCAAGCCTCAGTCTCCCCTTCTGTGATGATGCCTGTGATCACATCTGTAATGCATATACCCATTCCGTTAATGTGGTCACTGGGGAGGCTCCCAAATTTGGAGCCGGCACCAGGCAGTCACCAACACAGGCAGGCTCCTGGAGGGACCCATAGAGAGAAGCACAGGCAGGTGGCTTCCCCTTGGATGGAGAGGAAGGGGACCGAGCAGAGAGGGGGCCCGACGTAAGAGATCCCCCCCACTTCCCGCTCCTTTTTTTTTTTTTTTTTTTTTTTTTTCCTGTTGTTTGGTTGGTTGGTTTTGTTGTTACTGTCTTTTGAGACAGGATCTCACTATGTAGATGAGGCTGTCCGGGAACTCCAGGCTGAACTCTGATTCACAGAGATGGGTCTGCCTCTGCCTCCTGAGTGCTGGGATTAAAGGTGTGCGCCACCACTGCCTGGCTCCCTCTCTTTCTGTTTTTTTTTTGTTTTTTAATGTATTAATTTTATCTGTATGAGTGTTTTGTCTGCATGTGCGTATGTGTGTCACACGCATCCCTGGGGCTGGCAGGCATCTTAGGACCCCCTAGAACTGGCATTAAAGATGGTTGGAAACTATCGTGTGGTTGTTGAGAACTGAACTGGGATCCTCTGAAAGTGCTCCTTAAACCGCTGAGCCGTTCCTCCAGCTCCCTCCTGTTTCTTAACTAAGGAGATGGCTGAGGTGAAGAAGGCCACGGGCTCTACCACCAGGCATGGTCACTGCTGCTAATTTTAAGCTTTCTTTCTCCTCTTGGGGAGGAAGCCAGTGAACCAAATCCTTAATATAGCTGCCAGGCACCACGATGCTGCCCTTCCTCCCGCCACCCACCCCCATCCTGCCCACTGGCCGTAAACCGCCAGATGAGCAGCACACATCCCAGGCCAGAGCAACTGGGGGCCTTATCTGAAAGCAGGAGGGAAGGGAAGGCCCCTCTGCCTGCTGCCTGCAATGCACTGGCCTCCAGCGCCTTTGAGCTACAGCACCCCAAGCCTACCCTTTCCTGTCCAAAATATTTTCTGGCTCCCATGACGTGTTCTGGGCAGCCCAGGGAAGGAAGAAGACCCAGTGAGGGAGCGACGTGAAACATGGGACGTGCACACGGATGCACGGATGGGGAGACCAGGGTCCTGTCAGCAGGCACCCGTCCTCCAAGCCAGTACGCCTCACACCTACTCTATCCCAGGGTCTCGCTGTGCAGCAGCTGCTCACCTGGTATCAGTGTGTTCTCTGTGTGTGCGGGCTGGAACATGAGCCCTGCATGCTTTGTGGCAGAGCGGCAGCCACCAGACCCTGAGAGCCGTCCTACACCGGGCAGCTGACTGTTGGGGACGCTGCCACAATGCTGAACTGGGTACGGCCAAAGGGTGAGAGTTTCTTAGGCTAAAAAGGGTGTCCTGTCACAAAGTACAGCAAGCTCTCCCAGGAGCTCATCTGAAAGCCTAGAGGAAACCTAGGGTGCGGAGGTATGTGAAGGGCAGTAGCTTCCTAACTGACCAAATAAGGGCATTTCTGAGACCAGACCACTTGCTACTGCATATGGGTCTCTCACCAAAAGACCAAAAGCGCATGTTACTGTCCGTCCACAAGGCCCTCCGTGCTATACTTTGTCACAGCCCTGTGGACAGTTCTAGGGAGTTCTAGGGGCTCTGGTAGCATTCCCCCAAGATATGTGAACAGGCTGCAGATAGTGAGGCCTGGGTGGAGAGAAGGTTGAGAGGCTGCATAAAGAAAGAAACAATACTTTGAAGGCAGCACGGAATTCAGACCCTCTCCCTTGAGAGGGTGCTGGTTCCATGGTCCTAGCTCCCTGTGTTTTATAGGACACAGACCTGCAGCAGGGGAGTGCCTGGACAGTAGCTGAGGTCAGGCTCCAGCCTTCTGTGGGATCCAGCTAGGGTAGGGACACCAGTACCAAGGAGACTCAAATGTGTCCCCACCTCCAATCCCACCCTTTTGTGTCTTGGAGGGTCAGGTCCCACATTACCCTTTGTTAATGCCAACCAGTCAACCTTACGAGACCCCCATCTCCATTTGAGAACCAGAGTCTCTCTGGGCCTGTCCCATGTGTGGGGTGGTGGTCCAAGGAACTAAGCCTCTACCACGCCCTCTTTGCTCCCTGGCTACAGGATGAAGTGAGGCCAGAGAGACTTGGCTCTCTGTAGCCACCAGGCTTTGGGCAGGGCAGCCCTGATGCCTTAATTCCCTACACAAACACTTGGGTAGGGGCTGACCCTGGCCTCAAAGGGGAGGGGGCTGACTAAGCCCTCATGAGTAGCCCCCTCCCCGCTGGGCCCCCGCATGCCGCCAAGATGTTGACATGGACGGCTCCAGCCGTCTTATTTATTATCTGATAAAGCGAGCTCGGCACCGCTGGTGGACAGCGTCTGGCCGCTCTGAGCTGACCGGCATGGGGGAGGAGGATGGTGGGCAGACAGAGCCGGGCCCCAGCCTCACCCAAGGACGGAGAGGCCTCCACCCTGTGCTCTGGGACAGGACACATCTTGCCCTCTCCCGTCACTGCTCACAGGTCTGGGAAGGACCGCCCTGCCTACGACCACCCCGCACCTGAGGCTGTGCCCCCTTCTGCCAAGCTCAGTCTTTCCTCCTCATGCACCCTCACCCAATTACTGTTGCTGCCCATCCTCCACACCCCGCATTTGGGCTCCAGTTCAGACTTTCCATGATGCAGGTTCAGGCCTGCTTCTTTGCCTCCCAACATTACTCCAAGACCCAACTCCGCATTGTTAGCTATGTCCCCAAAGACACCTCACCAGGGTTCCCTTTCCTGCCAGCTGCATTTACTCTCAGGTACAGGGACACTTGCCAGCATCCAAATGCATCAGAGCTTTAGACGGTTTGCCTCATCCCCTCCACTCCAGTGCGACTCTTGAGGTTTGGGTCAGGACGTTTGGTGCCCACTCACCTCCTCCTTCAGTATTTTGGGGAAGGATTAAGATAGAGTGACCCAGGCAGCTCTAGAGGCCTCTTGTAGACAAATTAGCATAATCACACTTACTCATCTATGTATGGTGGTGAGCCTGGGCATTTCGATGTGACATGGTAAGTTCCACTCTTGCTGTGAACAAGGTCACATGAGGCTACCTCCCTCCAAGAATGCTGCTCTGGGGTCTCTGACAGACAGATCTATAGCCTGCCATCCCAGGGTTACCCGTAGGAGGGGGAAACGTGGTAGACAATGCAAGAAGAGGGAACCCAATAATTACTAGAGGGACTGTGTGTAGCTGAGCCCTTAAAAACCAGAGTTCCTAGTAACACAAAGGTATGTTAAGCTTTCCTACCAAAAAGATAGGTAAAATTTCAACTCATATGTAAAATATGACCACCACCTCTGTGCACAAAAAAATACTAAATATGTATTCATCGTGTGTTATACATGTGGTGTGGATACACGTATGTGCATGAACATGTGTGCACATGGTTGCCTGAGATTGACGTCAGGTGTCCTTCCTCCATCACTCTTCATGCGTTGTTTATTGATTGATTGACTGATGACTGATTGATTGATTATTGATTGACTGATTGATTGAGAAAGGTTCTCACTGTGTAGCCCTAGCTGGCCTGGAACTCATTATGTAGACCAGGCTGGCCTCAAACTCACAGAGACCCTCTGCTTCCAAAAGTGCTGGGATTAAAAGTGTGTGCCACCACACTTAGCTACTCTCGATCTTATTTTTTTTTTCCACAACGTCTCTCACTGTATCTGGAACTCACCAATTCGGCTAGGCCAGCTAGCCAATGAACTCTAAGAATCTACCTACCACCCAACCAAGCACTGGGGTTACAGACACATGCTCCTCTGCCCAGATTTTACATGGGTGCTGGGAATCCAGACGCCGGTCTTCATGGCTGTGGGACACACACTTTTTATCAGCTGAGCCATCTCCCTGGGCCTGGTTACAATTACTCTTAATATGTAAAGGAGTAGACAGCAACAAACTAGTTCCTGGGACAAGTACAACTTAGTCTAAAATTCATTTTTCTTTTTTTCTTTCTATCTCTTTTTCTTTTTGTTTGTTTGTTTTTTCAAGACAGGGTTTTTCTGTGTAACAGCTCTTGCTGTCCTGAAACTCACTCTGTAGACCAGGCTGGCCTTGAATTCACAGAGATCCACCTGCCTCTGCCTCCCCAGTGCTGGGGTAAAGATGTACACCACCACCTCCTGGCTCAGAAGAGGATTTGTCTTAATGGAGTCCTGAATGAGTCAGGCAGGGAAGCGTCTAGTTATTGTGGAGTGTACACGTGGCCTCCAATCATGTGCCTGATCCCACAGAGGGTTCTGGAAAACTGTCTGCAGAGGCTGGCTGCCTATTCCACGCTAGTGTCTCTGCCATGGTGGGGATTATTAGATCTGTGATCCAAGAGGTCTTCTACCAGTCCAGTACAGGAGACAACCAAAAAGAGGCGATTCCTCTTGCCCAGACCCTTCTCATGGGGGCGAATCCGAACTCTCCTTGGGCCTCAGAAGCACTGGAGGACACTTGGGAGGCTGAACTCACCAGGGTTCTCCCTGGTGAACAAGAGAGAGATGGAGAAGGAGGCAGAGCAAACGAGACATGGAGAAAAAGCAACAAGAGAGAGGGAGGAAGCGGAAACGAATGAACGCCAGCCACCAGGCCTTGGCTCTGTGATCGGACCACCACAACCAGGAAGCCTGCCTTTGGAGGAGCGGGATGCCCATCATCTTGGATAAGGTACATACAAGGCCCATTTGTCACCTCTGGGGCTGGAGAGCACAGGAGGGAGA